GGGAACCACAAGGCCGGGAGTGAGTCCCAGTATAGTTTCTAGAAAGAAGTAAGAGGGGTAAGTACAGGAAAGGAAGAAGTCAAGTTAACACTATTTGCAGATCACGATCTTCTACATAGAAAACCAAAAATTCCACCAAAAGATGCCCAGAATTAATAACCAAATTCAGTAATGTAGCAGGATACAAAATCAGCACACAAAAATCAATAGTATTCCTGCACACCAACAATGAATACCCAGAATGAAATTAAGAAAACAATTCACAATTCACAACTGCATCGAGAAAAAGCAAATACTTAGGAATTAACCTAACCAAGGAAGTGAAAGACCTCTATAATAAAAACTACATTGAAAAAGGAGATAAAAGAGGACATCAGAATATGGAAAGATATCCCCTGTTCCTGGATAGGCAGAACCAAAATAATTAAAATGGTTGTATAGATTTAATACAATCCAGTCAAAGTACCAATAGCATTCCTCACAGAACTGGAGAAAATAATCTTAAAATTCATATGGAACCAGAATAGAAAAAGCAATCCTGAGCTGGGCATGGTGGTGCACACCTGTAACCCTAGCACTTGGGAGGCTGAGGCAGGAGGATCATTGAGAGTTCGAGACCAACCTGGGCTACAAAGTGAGCTCAAGGCCAGCCTGAACTGCATAAGCGAGACCCTGTCTCAAAAACACAAGAAAAAAAAAAAAAAAGAAAGAAAGAAAAAGCAATCCTGGGCAATAAGAGCAAAGCAAGAAGCATCACAACAGCAAGTTATATTACAAAGCTACAGTGATAAAACAGCATGATATTAGCAAAAACAAAACAAAACAAAGCAAGTAAACAAGAAAAACAGTCCAGAAATGCCAATCAATGGAATAGAGTAGAAACAATACCAGGCACATTCAACTATCTGGTCTTCGACAAAAGGGCCAAAAACCTATACTGAAGGAAAGACAGCCTCTCTAATAAATGGTTCTGGCAAACTTGTTATCCACATGCAGACAACTGAAGCCATGCACTAAACTAAAATCAAAATGGATCAAAGATCTAAAAGTCAAAATAGAAACACAATTTGCTGGAAGATAAAATAGATAAAACTCTTGAAGTCATAGATGTAGGCAAAGACTTTCTGAACAGAACCCAATTAACTAAGAAACAATACCAAGAAGCAACAAATGGGGTCACAGCAAATTAAAAAGTTTCTGCACAGCAAAGAAAACAACCAAGAGAATGAAAAGACAACCTACAAAATGGGAAATATTTTTGCCAGCTATTCTTTGGATGGAGGACGAATCTCTAGAATATATAAAGAACTGAAAACTTGCCACCCCCCAATCCATAAAGTCTCTTATTCTTGTGTCTAGATGTCCCCTCAAAGGCTCATGTGGTCATAGGTGGGGCTCTTTAGAAGTAGCTGGATCTAGGGTGTGTGCTGTTGAGATTAAGGATGTGATGCTGGGGTTGATTCACAGTGCATCTCTAGGATTTAGGCTGCCCCACCTGGGTGTGAGTCCTACCCACCATAATGGTAGGTAGCCTGGATAAGATATAAGGGGCAGAAGGAGGGTCACTGCTTGTTGCTTGTCACTTGTTGCTGCTTCCTTGCTGCTTTGCTGCCCTCCTCCCATCCACCTGCCATGGATTGTTTCTCCTCTGCGATGCCCCTCTGCCACGCCCCCCTACCTTGGAGCCAGCTGACTATGAACTGAAACCTCTACAGACTGTGAGCCAAATGAACCTCTCCTCCTTTAAGTCTGGGTATTAGATATTTTGTGCCAGCAACAAGAAAAGTAACTAACACAAGACCCAATCCAAAAATAGGCAACAGAAATGAACAGACACTTCTCCGAAGAAAAGCAAACGGTCAGTAAATATATGAAAAATGTTTAGCATTTCTGGCCATTAGAGAAATGCAAATTAAAACAACACAGAGATTCTTTCCTTACTCCAGAAGGAATGGCTATTATCAAGAAATCTGGTAACAACAAATGCTGGCAAGGCTGGGGGGCAGGTGGGAGGAACCCTTCTTCATTATTGGTGAGAACGTAAACTAGTACAACCATTGTGGAAATCCATATGCAGATTTATCAAAAAACTGAAACTAGGAACAGGGGTGTAGCTCAGTGGCACAGCACCTGCCTGGCAAGTGTGAGGTCCTGAGTTCAATTCCTGGTACCAAAACTAAAACCAAAATTAGAACTTGCATTTGACTCAGGTAGCCCCCTTCTAGGTATCTTCTGGAAAGAGTTAGGGATATCATATTACAGTGATCCACCCGTACCTATGTTTATAGCAGCACAATTCACAATAGCTAAACCTTGGAAGCAGCATTCATCAACAGATGAATAAGTGAAGAAAATGTAGTAGTTCCTCACAATGGAGTACTACTCCGCTATAAGAAAAGATAAACTCGAGTTACTTCTAGGAAAATGGATGCACCTTGAGACTATAATGTTAGGTAAAGTAAATCAGACTCACAGGTTTAAATATTGCAGGGTTTCTTAAGTATGAGAAACTCAAAATACAAATAAA